CCCCCCCAAGCCCCTCCCCTGTCCCTCCGTGTCCCTCCCACCGTGTCCCCCCCCCAAAATTCCCCCCGTGTCCCCCCCCAAACACCCCCCAAACCCCCCTCCCCTCACCGGGCGTTTTTGGAGGCGTCGGGTCTCAGCACCTTCACCGCCACCAGCAGGGGGCGCCCTCGGCCCGAGGGGGCGGGGCTGGACAGAGGGGGCGGGGCCTCGGGGTCAGTGACCTCACACAGCAGCACCTGTGGGGAGGGCGGGGCCAAGGGAAAGGGGTGGGCGTGGTTAAACCCCCTGATGGTGGGTGGGGCCAAACCTCCGGGGGTGTGGCCTCAGCAAGGGATGTGGCTAAACAAATAAGGGGAGGAGCTAAACTACTAAGGGGAGGGGCTAAGTGACTAAGGGGAGGGGCTAAACAACTGAAAGGAGGGGCTAAACAACTAAGGGGAGGGGCTAAACACTTGAGGGCGTGTCTTTGCATTAAGGGGCGTGTTTTCACATTAGGGGGCGTGTCTTCACAGTAAGGGGGCGTGTCATTGCATTGGGGCGTGTCTTCACGTTAAGGGGGCGTGTCTTCACAGTAAGGGGGTGTGTCATTGCATTGGGGTGTGTCTTCACGTTAAGGGGGCGTGTCTCACCTCTCCAAACTGCCCCTCCCCCAGCTTCTCCCGGAAACGGAGCCGTCCCCGCGGGAAGGAAGGGAGGAGGGCGGGGCCAGGGACAGGGGCGGGGCCAGCCACGGCATAGGCGGAGCCCCCGGTGACATCAGCCTCGGCATAAGCCCCGCCCCCTGCCACGCCCTCGGGTTCGGAGACACCTGGAGGAGGGAGAGGGTGGGGTTGGAAGGGGTGTGGCTACGAAGGGAAGGGGCGTGGCTTTCCTCCCGACCCCGGCCTTACCGTCGGTGTTGATTGGCTTGGCCAAGGTGGGCGTGGCCGGGGAGAGGCCTCCCATTGGCTGGGCGTAGGTGGCCAATAGGAGGCGATAGGCCGGGTTGGCCAATGGGGCTGTGGGAAAAGGGGGAGGGGGTGGGGTCAACGAGGGGGGCGTGACCCTGGAGGCTCCGCCCCCTCAAAATCCAGGTACGAGATTGGGGGTGGATGGATCGGGAGGGTTTGGGGTCTCCCTCCTTCCTTCCCTCCTTCTCTCCCTCTCTCTCTCCCTCTCTCCCTCCCTCTCTCCCTCTCTCCATTCCTCCCTCTCTCCCTCTCTCCATTCCTCCCTCTCCCTCTCCCCGTCCCTCACCATTCCCGGTGTTTCCCGGCCGTTCCCGTGCCGGTGCCGGTGCCCGGGTGGGTTCCTGGTACTCCCCCAGCCCGGGGGGGATCCTCTCGTACCGGGGGAGCCCCCGGGGACCCCCCCCCGTGTTGTTGTTGATGACGACGGTGTCCCCCGGCCCCGAGAGCTGCACTCGCAGATCCGCCTCCGACCGCTGACCCTGCGTACCAGTTCGGACCAGTTCAGACCAGTTTGGACCAGTTCAGACCAGTTCGGTCCAGTTCGGACCAGTTTGGACCAGTAACTCATGTCTGGGTTCCCGGCTCATCCCAGTGAACCCAGAAACTCAGATATGTCCGCGTTCCCAGTCCGTCCCAGTCCGTCCCAGTTGACCCAACAGACACCAGACCCCGATATCTGAGTTCCCAGTTCAGCCCAGTTGACCCAGCGGCTCAGGGGGGTGGGTTCCCAGTTCCTCCCAGTTCCTCCCAGTTGATGGATGTGTGGGTTTCCCCTATTGCCAAGTGCCCTCCCAGTCCCTCCCAGTCCATCCCAGTTTCCCCTCCCACCCTCCAAGTCCCTCCCAGTCCCTCCCAGTCCATCCCAGTTTCCCCTCCCACCC